CCCTCTAGAACCCTCAGTTTGTTTTTCAGAGTCCATCGTCTCTCATGGTTCGTCCACCCCTCCGATTTCCCCCGCTTCATTCCTCCCCTCAAGGAAATTTTATTTGTATCTACTTTATATCATCAATTTCGGATGGATTAAGACTTAAATGTTAAAAGCAAAACATTTTAAAAATTCAATAGAAAATATAAGAAAGTATCTTCTTGATCTTAGGATAGAGAGCATTCTTTGAATAAGACACCCAAAGCATGACCATAAAACAAAAGATTGACAAATTAGACTATATTTAAATTAAGAACTGCTTTTCAACAAAGATGCTAGAATGAAAGTGAAATGATAGCTCTAATTATATATATCTAATAATGAGAAATCTAGAAAATCTATTATAACTGTTCATGAAATTGTCCAAAAATAAGTTTTACAAACTAGCAAAGAACTACCCTATACAGAAAATTCAGAGCATATATGAATAAAACTAAGCAAATACCTACATCTAAAAACAGTTTCAATCTCACTGTTTTAATGGCACACATAAATCTTTTGTGTCAGATGGAGATCAATAATGTAAATATATATATATTCTTTAATCAGTAAATAAAACACTTTGACCTGAGGTCAAACACTGAGACAATAACCATTGTCTCAATAAGTGATTTTTACTGACCTATTGAACAGTGAAGATGGTAAGAAATCCTAGTCATAATAATCTCACTGACATTTAAGTGCTTAACACCATTCAATAAACACTGAATCTTGCTGAACACCAGGTACTGTGGAATACACAAAGAGCAGACACACAATCCCTGATCTTCAGGTCTATAACCTAGTTAGCAAGCAGTAAAATACATATGTAAAGAGGTAAGTCAAATTTCTATCAGACCTCATGTCAATCTGTTTTTTTCCATCTCCACTATCTCTGTAATCTCTCCTAAAGAATCTCTTGCACTCATTTCACTCTATCCCAATCTATTCACTACACTGCAGCTATAGAAACCTTTCTGAGATGCAAGAAGACCACAGATGCACTCTTTGGAGAAACAAACTGTAGAGATTCAGAAACACCAGGCACAGGGCTAAAAGAGATTTATGTGAAAACCTGTACTGAACAATGAAAGCCTAGCAGCCTCACTTAGCCTGCTTCTATAACTGAAAAATAAGTGTCTACTTGCCCTAGGAGAATGAGGATTCTTCTCTAGAAAACTAAATCAGAACAAACCTCCAGCTACTGATATTTGGAGGTTCCTCCAAGGAAAAGGCCACGGTTTGCTGACTCCTGCAATTAAAGATAAAAAAAAACAAAAACAAAAAGCAGAGGAATAAATTATCAAATAATTTAAATTTCCCACCAGGTATCTCAGTTGGTTAAACACCCGACTCTTGATCTCTGCTCAGGTCATGATCTCAAGATCCTGGGATCACTGTGGAGCTCTGTACTCAGCAGGGGGTCTGCATTCTCTCTTCCTCCCTCTGCCCCTCCCCCTGCCAGTGCACACTCTCTAAAATAAATAAGTCTTTAAAAAATAATTAAATTTCCCAGAACTAATAAAGAACATAAGTTTTTAGATTGAAAGAGTCCAACACAAAGCACATCATGACCAAATTTGAGGACACCAGGGATTAAACAGATTACAAAAGCTCCCAAAGAGGGGAAAAAAAAAGATCTCATACAACAATTGGGAAATCAGGTATCAGCTTTATTAAGAGCAACACTAAACTAGAGAACCTTCAAATTTGAGAGAATTCCAACTAGAATTCTGTACCTACTGAAATTAGCAATCACACGAGAGGGGAGAAAAAGGGTATTTTTCAGACTCATAACAACATAAAAATTTACCTCCAAGGTACCCTTATTTAGAGAGCTACTAAAAGATGTACTCCAACAAAGCAATGGAGTAAACCAAAAATGACTAAGACATGATATCCAAGAAAACAGGGACCCAACACAGAGGAGCAGCTGAAGAAGTCCCAGAACAGCAGCTGTGCAACTAACTAAGTCCAGACTGGGACTGGGAACAGAGCTACAGGACGGAGTCTTCAGGATAAGGAATGGAACGTAGTATATTAGAGCATATGAAAATTATTATTGACAGCATGTAGCAGCGATGTGGAGCATTTAGAAAAAATTAACTACAAATACACAGAAAGCCAGGAAATAAAAAAAAGAGACAACTATTAACGTCATACAAAGCAAAGACTATACTATTTCATTATCTGGCTTAGAAGGAAACACTATCTTTATAATCAAAATAATGAAATACTTATAAGTTAACCAAAAATTACAATATGTCATTGTGTAAGGGGAAAGGAAGTACAAAAGCAGAGTAAAAAGCTAGATCTTCACCTATCATGGCAAGAAGAGATAATGCCCGAACCTGATTAATACCAGTCTACACATGATATTAAGGAATAAAGAGCTAAATACCAGGGAAAATGGCCAAAATGATTAAAAGTGGTTTCTTCCAAGTAGGACTTGGAGATGGAGAAGGGTAAGGTAAAGCCTTCTAACGTTATTTGGCTTTTAACTATGTAAATACATGATTTTTTAAAATTAATTTAAAATAATTAACATTTATTAAAAAGCCAATAGCTGCAAAAAATATTTGCAACACTATGTTACTGTAACAGTATTATAGACAGAAGAACAGTATCTTAAAATTATTAAAAACTCTTGCAAAAGACAACAGAATATATGCAGGGGACATGAACAGGAAATTTACAAAAGAAATATTACTATCCAAGGCACATATGAAAAAAACTTTTACCATTCAAAGCAAGAAAAAGAAAAACTCCAGATTAAAACAACAAAGCAACATTATTTTAACTACTAATCAGCAAAATTTTAAGGAATGGGTAATACTAATGGTGGTAAGGTTTTTGGAAAATGCGATGATTTTGAGTGTAAGTTGATACATTGTTTCTGGAGGAAATTTTGGTAATATGAATCAGAATCTTAAAAATATGTATGACATTTGATTCAGTAAATCCTGCTAAAAATGCACCATTAAAGAAATAGTTACAAATATGCATAAAAGGATCCAACCACAAGGGTAGTTATTTTAACAAAATTTTCTTAAGACTGCCTTTTCCATATTGATTTACTAGAAACAATGTAATAGCCTTACCTGAACTGTACGTCCTGCATTGATATGCTCTTCATGCAACTTATCCCAGATTCTGCACCTTTGGTACTATACAAAAGAGAGGAAAGGTACAGTTTTTTTTTAATCACTAAACTTATTACTTCTAGTTACCCCAAAAATCCCCACTCACCTAACCAAACTTAAACATACCAGCTAAAGTTATTGACTTAATAGTGGCAGCTAACTGTCCAATGACAATATAAGTAGGAAATTTTCAAAAACATTACATACAAAATTCTGGCAAATGGTAAAGCAAATAAATTTATTTTGCTGAAAAAAGACAGTGTACTCTGTCTTGCAAATTCTTTGGAGATGAAAAAAATAATGAGAATGTAAAAGAATGAAAAATAAAAGGATTAAGAGCGTTCATGAGATATTATTTATGAAGAATTTTAAAAGTTTGTCAATGATAGTGTCAAGTATTAAAAATAAAATCTGACTTTGAGAAAAAGTAATATTGATACTGCAGACTAGAAAGTACACAAAAATGAGAATGAACATTTAATATACATGCTTCAGTTTTTACTAAGGCAATGTTTAGCTTTCAGAGTTTCAACCAAGAATTCTTCATTTGACAGGAACCATAGCAAAATGTGGTAACATTACGGCACAATACTTATATAGAATATAAACATCAACACCAAACATCACATACTATTTTTGGTTGAAATAAAAAATCCAAATAATTAATGTTAGGAGGTAAGTGTATCACTGGTATAGTATACATCGAAAGAAAAAAAAAATCAACCTAGAAATACTGTGAAAGGACAGAAACATGAAAATGTCCCATGTAAGGGCACGTGGGTGGCTCAGTTAATTAAGCATCCAACTCTTGATTTCAGCTCAGGTCATGACCTCAGGTCATGAGATCAAGCCCCCTGATGGGCTCCTCGGGAGTCTGCTTGAGATTTTCTCTCTCTCTCCCTCTCCTGCTAGTTCCTTCTCTCTCTCTCTCTAAATAGATAAATCTTAAAAAAAAAAAAAAAAAAGAAGTCCTTCAGGCTGATGGAAAAATGATACCAGAGAGAAACCTGGCTCTACTCAAAGGAATGAAGAGCACTGAAAATGGTACATATAAAACGTTTTATGGGGGACGCCTGGGTGGCTCAGTTGGTTAAGCATGGGGACTCTTGATTTTGCCTCAGGTCATGATCTCAGGGTCATGGGATCGAGCCCCACCTCAGGCTCCGCGCTGAGTGCACAGTCTGCTTAAGACTTTCTCCCTCTCCCTCTGCCCCGACTCTCTCTCTCTCTCTAAAATAAATAAAATCTTTAAAAAGACTCTCTCTCTCTCTCTAAAATAAATAAAATCTTTAAAAAAAAAAAAGGTTATTTTATTTTATTTTAAAAATCTCTTCGAAAGAAAACTGTTTAAAACAAAAATAACAACAATGTATTGTTGGGTAATAACATACACAGAAGCAAATTATATGACATTAATACTATAAAGACCTTGGAAGTGTATTATTATAAGTTTCTTATACATGAAGTGATCAAAGTGAGTGTTTTATATATATATATATATATATATATAACAAATCAATGAGACTGATTAGGTTTGATTTTGTACCCTATAGTTTGTGCTTCATACCTAACCTGGACAGTCCATGCCACTCATTTCACACTTAATTATATGTCACTATTATTCTCTGAACATTACCTAATTTATTTCCTTAACTGGACTGTATACTTCTTGAGGATTAGAAATCTAATTTTTTATGAACTTTTCAGTGCTAACAACAAAAGAAACAGCAAACACCAACACTTAGGAAAAGCTGACATACATTTATTTCTTGTAATTAATGACTTCCCTTCTCATTAAGCCTGGAAGATTGAACACAAGCATTTATCTCTGCTCTTTCTAAAACCCAACTAAAATGGCAATAAAGAACTTTAAAAGGTATACATTCATGAGAGTCATAAAAATACAATAGAAGGTATCAGTTGACAAGAAATTTTAACAAAATTTTAGAAGCTGGAAGGATTACAGACATGTTGCAACGGACTTCGAAGATCTGAGAAAGCTACACCATGAGGCTGCAGAAGGGGTGAGTGGTGTGGGAGAGGCAGAGTGACAAACCAACAGGCACACCACCACTCCCGAAAGACTCAGTAACCAGAACTACCAGCTAGTCAGGAGGATGTGTATGGTGGGGCGGAAGGATTGGCTGAAAGTTTATGTAAGGAAGAGGTACTCTACCAAATGCTCTCTGCAGGCCCAAACAACTACACTGCCCCTATCACCACAGAAGACCACATTCCAGAAAAGTATCTTGTGGTTCCCCATTAAAACAGATCCTTCACCTGCTCACCCCTCCAGGTAACAAGACCCCACCTACTTCCTGCTACACACACAAATACCTTCCAATTAGCACTCCTGAATATCAACAGCTAGCCAAGCAATGCCCATAATACTGCAGGCTGACACAAAGAAGAAAAGAGGGAGGTGGGGGGAGAGAAAGTAAGAAATAAATTTAAAGGGGAAGAAAGAATAAAGAAACTCAGGGAAAACAAAGAAGCAGATAAAAACTTAAAAAATAATAATAAAACCACCAGAGAGATGCTATGATACTGCATCCATGAAACAACAGGAAGATTCTCTTTAAAAGAGAAAAAAGAGAAGTGACAGAAAAAAGAACATAGCAAAAATATGATTCTCGTTATTTCATCTTAGCTAGAATCTGGATGTAATAGCTGAGGTTGGAGCTGCTGTTTTACATGCAAGATAGAAACAAGTTGAGGATCAGAGAGCAGGATAAAAAGAGCCTGGGTCTTTATTGACTGCTGAGCTGCCACTGCAGCCTGGAGTGTCTCTGTAACTATGAGCGGTTAAAAATAAAGCAAAAACAAAAAAGGTCTATCTGATTTAATACACTATTTCAGGGTTTTCTGCCACTTGTACTTTAACCATATACTAGCACAGTACATGCTACACAGTAAGTTTTCTCCTAACCCTACAATATGAAACAAAGAAAATCATGTTCCAAGCATATGATCTTGTTTCTATTAACTATGCTTAAGCCTATCTTACGTTAGCCAAGAAAGCTGAATGCTAACACTTCAAATTTCAGCACTGCATTCTAATCAAGTCTATCATGTGTAATAAAATGTAATGCTGAAGGACCTATGGAATACAGTCCCAGGTGTCCACAGCACACTACTCTCATTGTTTAAGGATGTTGCAGAATCACTCCACCAAGGCTTACCTTCAATTTCCCCTCAGTGTGACTTTCTTCTTTTAAATTCATATTGGATGACTGATGGCTAACATAATAAATATTTTATCTTTCTACACCCTTCCCCCAGGAAGAATATGCCTTTTTTAAAGTGAGGCACTGTCAAACACCTGGAGTCCAAACCTAGTTCTTAACTCTTTTGTCCACAGTGAACACGGCAGCTTTTAAATGTTTCTACCTAAAAAGTCACTTTCATAGTAAAACTAGAAATCCTAGAGACAGTATAATGATCAAGAATACAGAATAAAACACAGATCAGCATGAGTCTGCTTAGCTTCAGACATCACCTATACTGTAAATTGTAACTATTCTGACATTGTCTAAAAATTTCACATTAAGTAAAAGTTTCACAAAATGCTAAAGGAAAAATGTTATGGCAGAGAAAGATCAATATAACTCTGGAATAATTTTCTTATGAAGTTTGGTACAACTAACCAAATCAATAATAAATCCTTTCCTATCCCCACCTTCCTTGTTCCCAGGGTTCTGGCTTTTCCATTGATGACTGACTGGGTGGTACATGTGGCTAGGATCTGAGGGTATGACTGCAGGCACTTTATACAGAATAAGTAAAAGAAATGGGAAATCTAAGACATGCCAAACCTCAAAGGTAATATTGGGCAATAAAGGAAAGAAATTATCTTAATAGACCGTAGTCCACCTATGTCTAACTTTCAGAATCAATTCATCTGCCAAATTCTAGTCATCTTTGTAACTGAGCGCTTTGATATAAGCTCAGGACTTTAAAACACACCTTACCAACCTGCCACCCAGATATGATCAACCAAAGTAAACAACTCAATTTCTATATTGTTATAGTGCTGAAAGAACGAGGCTTTCTCATTAATCAAAGCATGGAGCCCTGTAATTTGTTTCTGCTCATGACAAGAAAAACCAGTTTACCAGAAAACTCTCCCACCCTAAAAAGTCACAGTACTTACTGTCTACGAATAAACAAAAACTTAAGAGATGACAAAATAGCAATTGTGGATTCCAGATAGCTTCATACTTGCATTGAAATTTTCATCTTAATATTCCTGGTACTTATTTTCTATACTTTTTGGAAAGACTTAAATACTAGGAAAACAGATGGTATCTATGGGGGGAAAAAAAGCTGACACTTCTTAGTTGTATAAGGTACTCAGGTGACGGTGACAAATACTGTTTATACTGAAAGGCTTAATGACCACTTCCACCCCACCCCCCACCGCGAAAAATTAATGGAGGGCCACACAGCTTAAAATTTATACTGGGGAGGTCTTTTTGAAGGAGCAAATCCTACTGACCTACAGCAAATAAAACAATATAATCTGCCAAGTCAATGCTCAGTACTCAGTAAACCTGATGTTCCCATGAATACCACAACTATTCCACCAGACGCTGGCCAGTCCAGGTTCTATGCAACCTTCACCATGATCCATGAGACTAGTTCTTCCCTCTATCTATTTCCTAAACTGACCTCTAGGTGGTATTTCTCAATTTGGGGCTTTCCTCAAAGGGAAGAAGTCAATTTGGGAAATTCCCTCATATCACACAATGATTTACCTCTTTACTCTATGTGCACCTGAAGAGGATAGGAGTTACTGACAGACACCAAAGTTGAAAAAACTTGCCATGCGGTGAATGAAATTAAGGCAGGCCCATTAGCCAAAGTTCACTGCCTTCACATTATGGTGCACTATCAAACAATTTGTATTTTAATTATTAACTGCCTAAAAGGTCAGTATGTACAACTTAAAAGGTATAGTTTCTATTCTTATATCCCTCCCTAAAAAAGGAATAAGATGAGGTATATTTGTAAAACGAAAACCCAGATGAAAAAATGAATGTTACTAAATCAAGAGGAGATGGATGTTTTACCAAAGCCTCTTATCTAATATTCTAAATTTAGCTGAAATGCACAAATATAAATCAGAATTCGCAACTGTTTCTTGTGGTAGGAAATGAAAAAAACCCACCTTCTCAATATTTATCTGGTGCTTTCTTAGCCTCTCCAGGTCTGTTGGGATTACTATCTTAATGAATTTCTGGATAGCTGGTTCAAGACGCCGTAATTTCACTTTTTCTTCATCTTCAGACATCCTAAAAAAATATTGTGTCACTTCTACTTGCAGCAACTGTCTTCTCCACTCACATAGAAAAATCTAAAAGGGAAATATTTAAGAATGTTTTTAATCAGTTTCTATTATTTTTAAAAGCCAACAATTAAGTAATTTTATAATTTATTCTAAATATATATTTCAACTTAATTCTGAACTTGGCTGACTTTTTTTTTTAAGATTTTATTTATTTATTTGACAGAGAGAGACACAGCGAGAGAGGGAACACAAGCAGGGGGAGTGGAAGAGGGAGAAGCAGGCTTCCCGCGGAGCAGGGAGCCCGATGCGGGGCTCGATCCCAGGACCCTGGGATCCTGACCTGAGCCGAAGGCAGACGCTTACCAACTGAGCCACCCAGGCGCCCCTTGGATGACTTTTTTAAGAAACCTTTATTTTGAAACCTTTCTTTCTACAGACGTATATGCACTTTAAAATGGTTAGAAAATACAAAAAAGAGGATAAAATAAAATCAATCATCTCTCTTTTCATGTCTTTCCAGGTTCTTTTCCAAATAACATATACACTTAAATACCTTTTTTTATTTTTAAACCATGAGTTTACTGTCCAAGTTTTCATTTCCCAATGTATCTTGGACAATGACTAACCTTTTTTAAAAAGATGTCAAATGGCAAAATCAAAAGAAAAAATTTCATAACATTTCTGCTTGTATCAAATTCCATTTGACCTCATAATTTAACTATGTAATTATATACTTCAAATATTTAACATCATATGCAACTCTTCTCATTGATGTCCTTTAAACTGTCTCTTCCCTTTCTTACAGCGTGATTAGTGTTGTCTGCAACCAATACAAATAACCAGTGACAGAGCTGGAATAAGAATCCAGGATTCCTGAGAGTACAATCAAATGCTTTTTCTTTTTTTTTTTAAAGATTTTATTTATTTGAGAGAGAGAGACACAGCGAGAGAGGGAACACAAGCAGGGGGAGTGGGAGAGGGAGAAGCAGGCTTCCCGCCGAGGAGGGAGCCCGATGCGGGGCTCGATCCCAGGACCCTGGGATCATGACCTGAGCCGAAGGCAGAGGCTTAATGACTGAGCCATCCAGGCGCCCCTCAAATGCTTTTTCTAATTCACCAATAGTTTCCTACCAGTGTTCCAAGATGTCCAACTGTATGCCTTTGGGGCCAGGGTACGTGAGGGTAGAGGACAGCAAGTGAGCAGGCTCCAGGACCCCATGCCTGCTTCAACTGGAGAAAATTTACTTATATCTACTTCATAAATTTGTGCATATTAGATTTTACATCAATAAAGGGCTCCACTGTTTAAGCTTGAAAACCACTGTTGTGCAACCTTGCTTTCATGCCATCTCATTAGCCCACAACCTCCCCCGTATTTAAAAAAAAAAAAAATTGACTATGTTAATCCCAATGGGCTATGGGGTCTTAAACCAGGGTCCATACAAACAGACATTCGCAAATACACTTTATGGAGTCCCTGAATCTTTATGAATAATTGTGAATGTATTTTTGAGTTATTTCAGAGGACAGAGTCCATTGCTTTTATGATATTAAAAAAAAAGACATCACTGCAGAAGCATTAAGAACTATAAATCTAAATAATGTTGTTTCTCTTTCTTTCACAGTTGAAAATCTTGAAGTGTTGGTTATACACACTATCTCATCAACTTAGTAACTTGGTTTTTATGTTTAATCTTGAAAGCAAAAAAGGGAAATCTCCACACACCAAAAATAGAGTTCAACAGCTACAGTAGTGAATGGGAATTGGAGATACCTAGAGAAGTTCATTGCCGAGAGTCCACAGACCCAACACAACAGGAAAATTCATAGCTAAGGAACTAAAGATAATAATCTAAAAAGAAGATTAAAATAATTACAGTTAAAAATATTCAAAGATATAAAGGAACAGAATCCTTTTAAAAATTAGATAATACTATAAAATAGTAGTAGGCTAATCTGAAAAACCAAGTACAAATTGAGAAATAAAAACCTCAAAAATGGATTAAACAATAAACTATGTAGCAGAAGGGAGAATTATTGATTGGAAAATTATCAGAACACAGAGGAATGAAGAGATGAAAAACATAAAAGATAAAATGAGAAGCTCAATAACAAATAAGAGTCCCGTAAGAGAAGAATAAAGAAAGTGGTGAAAAGGCATTATTCAAAGAGAACATGCTGAGAATTAAGATGCAAGACCTCAAATTGAAAATGCACATAAGCCCCAAGTGGCATAAATTAAAAAAAAGATTTACCAACACATGGTAGGGAAATTGCAGAACGTGAAGGGCAAACAAAAAAATCTTAAAAAAAGCAAACCAGAGATAAAGATAAACTAAAGCAACAAAAGCAGCAAACTTTTCATCAAAGCAAGATATCAAAAGACAGGAATATCCTCAAGGTGCTGAGAGAGTTGGTATATACCCAGGTAAATATTATTCAGAAGTGAAGGCAAAATAATCATTTTCAGACATAACAGAGTTTATAAGCAAGCCCCCTCATTAAAAGAACAACTAAAAGGCACACTTTAACAATAAAATAAACCCAAAGGAGATGAATGCCAAGGAGCTATGAATATGATAAAGCATACTATTACTGGGCAGATAAATGAATGAATGAAAGAAAGGATTTATTTTGAATACTCTGATCAAATATAATACAAATCTTTCCATGTAAATTACTATTTTTCTACAATACATCTTTTATAGCAGCATAGTGTTACATTACATAGATGCTCCATAATTTAACCAATCATCTATTGTTGGCTATTTAGGTTGTTCCCAATTTTCCACTATTACATACTGCACTACAGTGTAATTACCCTTCTTACCCCTTCTTACACATAAATCCATACTACCATCTATGATGTTTCTTCAAAATAATTAGAAATCAAATAGGCACACGCATTTTTTTAAGGCTTTGATACCAAATGTCCCAAAAGGTTGTGCCTGTTTACATACCCACTAGCAACATATCAAAATATCCAATTACCCATATTCCCACCAATACATGGTACTATCATCCTCCTTAGACCTTCAAAAATGGTGTCTAATTATTGTTTTATTTTGCATTCCTTAAATTACTGGTGGCATTGATTCATTAGCCATTTGCATTTCTTATGAACCGCCTGCTAGTGCTATGTACCTATTTTACTACAGGGGATATCTTTTCCTTATTATATTTAACATATATATATATATATATATATATATATGACTCATAAATTATCAATTATTTGTCTCAGAATGTTCCCAGTTTATGATATTGCTTGCATTTTTTTCTACCATGCAGGTTATATCCCATAGGAAGATTATCTTTTTATCTACCATCATTCCGGTTTTTTTTTTTTTTTACCATACCTGGTTTTCAATAGATGCTGATGGAACTAAAATATTTCTTCACACATCCCTTCATCATTTCTAATCCCATCATTCCAAACAATACAATATGCACAGCACCTTACAAGTGTCTTAACTGGCCTGCCTTTAGACTCTTTCCCATCTCCAATTTTTCCTCACAGATTACCACCAAGTAACATACCGAAAACACCATTTGCAACATGCTACTCCTCTGAACAAAAACTTCCTAGAGTTCTCTATTATTTGAATAAGAAAATACAATGTTTGTAAATAGACCCACATAATCTAAGTATTATCACCCAATCTCTACTTTTGGCTTTGCAATGATGCGCTCTGTCTAGATGCCCTTTTATACCCCATTTGCCTCTAAAATTTATGTATCATTTGATATACAACTCTAATGATTGTCTTCTCCACTAATCAGTTTATAGTATACGTAACAAAACAAATTATAACAAATTATTAGATATCTGACTTGTTTGCACTGTTCCCCTACGCTATGATGATAGATTTTTTCAGTTCCAAAAGTGGTATTTCCAGTCAGAGTTATGCATGATTCTGCCCCTCACCTTTTTGTGTCCAAGGAAAACCTACTGCCTCATAAGGATCATCTATCAGGGAAGACATTCTGCCCCAAGAACCTCCCAAGAGACTTTTCCAACTCTTGGTCTCCTTCTGGCCAGTATTTTTTTCTTCTCTCCACCATTTCCATTTTTATAAAATTATAATAAAATGCCTACATACACTAACATAAGAACATAACATTCAAATAATTGCATAAATCGTGATGTTACCGAAACAGAAAGTTGTCCAGCAGTAGCTCCAATCATAAAATAGCTCAAATAAGTTTGTAAGTTGTTAAAGGAAGGTATGTAATCCAATATACAAAACGTGGTGTTAAAATATAATTGAAAAACAAGTAAACGTATTTCAGCATTTCTTGATTTTTCAGTCAAAAAACTAGAACATATTTCTGATATGACAAAAATAAAAAATACATTTACATTAACATCACAACTGTGTAAAATAGGCCTATGAAAAAGACAAAACACAAAAAAAATGCCTAATTTCCCAAACTTCTGTAGAGTTGATTTCCTTGTAACTTTTTTTTTTTTAAGTGTAATGGAATATTTGGGGTGATAGAATAGTTCTGCGTCCGGCGCCTGGGTGGCTCAGTCGTTAAGCGTCTGCCTTCAGCTCGGGTCATGATCCCAGGGTCCTGGGATCAAGCCCCGCATCGGGCTCCCTGCTCAGTGGGAGGCCTGCTTCTCCCTCTCCCACTCCCCCTGCTTGTGTTCCCTCTCTCGCTGTCTCTCTCTCTCTGTTGAAAAATAAATAAAATCTTAAAAAAAAAAAAGTTCTGTGTCATGACAGTGGTGGTAGATACACAATTATATGCATTTGTCAAAACTCACAGAAGTGTACATTACAAAGAATGAATTTTTGAAGACTAAAAAACAAAAACAAAATGTGAAGGAACACAAAATGGAACACGAACTAATAAAAACAAAACTGTATTACCAATGAATAGCATAACCACACTGAAAGTAGGGGAAGAAAATAATTAATCTAGGTAACTCTGGAAAACACTATTTTAACTGGATACCACAAGGCTAAAGACAAAAAGAACTACACACAGTTTTCTAATAAGCAAATTTGTTTTTTATAGGAGTATGGGTTACAAATCCTGAAAATCCTTTATG